CAAAAATTAAAATATAGTTGACACAATAATAGATGGGTGATCTGTCAATTGTCTTCGGCCCAAATTAAGTTTAATTTAGATCAAAATAGAATTCGTTAAATTGTATTTGCTTTTCCCCCAGAATTAATTTTTTCAATAAAGTGAACTGGATAAATTCTATACTTCAGTACTTACGACAGTGGATTGTATCGAAATATAATGTGTGATTAATTGTACAGTAAACCTATTTTTAATAGAATGGGAAAAGTTTGATGCAGCTTTCATTTTGATAGCGATAGGCATTTTGATTTTCTTTAATTTTGAATGAAAAAATCTACCTGACGTAGGTAAATTTCACATGATGAGATAGAAATACAAGGGTATACAAGCTACTGTATTTAAACAGTATTTAAACATGATTTTTAAACTCAATTAGTTCATATTCATTTCAAGGATTACCTAAAGAAAGGTAATCAAATACATATATATAAATTTCATCACCGAAACTGTACTTAAAGTATTTGTTGCTATGTTATTTAATATAAATTTTAAGTTATTACATAAAGTCTATTTCAAGAGACCTAACGGACCTCTCTGTGCTATTGTTTACAACATGAAAAATTCGACAGAAACAACTACGAGGTTTAATAAAAAAGAAGCCTTTGTTTTTAAAAATTCTTCGAGAATTTATAAGAAAAAAAAACGTACTAATAGATATAACTTGGATGTAATTAAATATTTGGCTGATAATGTTTCAATTAATATAGATGGTAATAGTCTTAAAATTACAGAAAGATGTAAACTTAAATTTAAACGTTAATGATTTTGTCATCACCTTTACAATGAATAGAATTCCAATAAAAAAATTTTAGTGAATTTGGTCAATAGATTCGTGAATTTAATACTTTATTTAAAAAATAATAAAATTATTATACCTAATAACATACCAAACATTATATAACTACCGATATACATTTTGCTAACAAAATTGGTTAGATCTTTTAATAGAATTTTTAGTTCATCATCAAATTGGTCTATTCTTTTACTTGTTTTGCTGTTATTTTTTTTTTAATTCTGCTAAAGTTATGCTATTTTTAATTATTAATTCATTTAAATCTTCTATGCTCTTAATAACTTTATTCAGATTTTTAGAACTTTCTAAATTTTGTATAAATTTCATAATATCCTCACAGATGTTTTCATAATTAGTAAGTAATATTTTGTATGGGGAACCACGAGCTCTTGATCTAGCTGGCTCATTATAGCCACCCATTTTTGCAACTACAAAAACTCTAAACGAAATTTGAGGATACCTAATAAGTTAATTCAAAATAAATATTTAAGTGCAGTTTAATTTAACATGTTATATTACATTATTTTTACAAAATAAGAAAATATATAAAATTATAATTTTAAAACAAATTATTACCATGATATTGCACCTTCGAACTTCATTATATCACCTCTTATAGCATTACCACGATTTGTGTTATCTCCATCATAGTTTTTGCATTGTACTAAAAAGGTATAACCTTTATATGAAACAATTATATCAATTCCATTGTCACCTTGATTTGTTTTTCTATGAAAAAAAAAAAAATTTATGAATAATTGTCAATAGTAAATTACCAAAGGTCAGGTACAGGTTATTTAACCATGCATCCTATTCACTACAATCTTACGACTTTCGAATGATAAGTGACTAAAGAAGGACGTTAACCACTCACTTATCCTGACCAATAACCTTAGATGGTGGCCCGATGTGCTTCCAGTTCTTTGCCACTCCACCATTCTAGTGGCAGCGTAACTTTAGATGCATAACGATCAAAAATTCAGTAAAAAAATAAATTCTTACTTTGATTTGTTTACTCCCATATCCAGCAAAATCAGTTTATAGCACACTTTGTCTTCAAACTCATTTTCTTTAAAAACATACGATTTGATACCAGTAGAATTGGTCATTTTAAATAGTGTAATTAATAAAAGTAAGAAGTTAAAAAATAAATACTACATACCTAAATATACAGTATAAGAAAAAAACACAAAGAACTCGTGAGAAAAATTCGTGAGAAAAATTCTTGATTTACCAAAAAAGTTTCGAAGCCACATGACAAGAGATCTACATGGGATCACGTTTCACAATTTTTCAAGCAAAATTAATAATTCCGGGCAAAATTAGAGATAACTCAAAGCAAAATTAGGCCATTCTAATAAAATCATTATAAACCAATCAGAGAATTTGGCATATCAGATATTTAAACCAAAAAGGCAATTCCCTTTTTGAAATACACTAAATGATTGGATAGTATTGGAATTTTTTAAGAATACAAAAAAATTTAGTAGTTTATTTAAATAATATCGATATAAAAAAAAAAATCATTTGAATTGATTTTTTTTAATTGAAATATAGGTGCTATTCTTTTAAAGGATTTGGTAAAAGAATCATAAATCAGTCTTAACCAAGAGTATAAAAATTACAAATTATAATCCAAATGAATATACAATGCGAAGTGCTGTTCTTTTTTTATATTTTCAATTCATTCTTTATTCGTCAATTGATTTAAAATTCGTTAATTGAAATGAAGACATATGTTGCGAAGTTGTTATTAATTGTGCTAGACCTAAAGTTAATGTTTTAACTTTATTTTATCGGATCACATCACCACATATTTTGTCCTTGATTTTGCCTGTAGAATTCATTTATTCTATTAATGATTTTAAGAATTAAGTTCAATTTCTTCATTATTGGTGACTTTTACAAGTTCGTACCGTATAACCGCGAAATAACACGCAGGGTGTAATTTCAATTTTTGGCCTAAATTAAGCTTAATTTGGGCCAAAATTCAAAATAACGCCCCTGTGCGTTATTTTGCGGTTATACGGTAGTCGATTATCAATTCGCCATGAAAATCGTGCTCAAAAGTAATCGTCAGGATTTTCATTAAGAGACATTTGAATTTTATTTTTATTCAAAAAAAAAAAAAAAAAAACAACTGCGAAATGGATAAATTTTTAATGCCACAAAATAAGATACGATTTTAATAAAACAATTTTATAGGTATATCCTTACGTCACAATGGCTATTTAAATTAAAATCATACTAGTAATAACCTCTATTAGTAATATTGGGATGGATTATTGGTCAACCAATGTCATTGATTTTGAAACTGTATGTTTATTAATTTCAGGTTTACTCTCAAATTACTTGGTACAAATATGTTTTATTTTAATTTTTAATTTTTAATATTGTAAAATTTTTATAATAAAAAAAATCTATCTTAACCGTTATTGCATTTTTCATTTGTTCTTAATTATAGAGTGAGTATTGTTAACTTTATTTTTTTTAATTCTTTAATACAAATAATATAATCCGAACTTATTTTTTCAGATGGAAAATCAAATTGGTTAGAGGGTGCATTGCTTATAGCAACCTTTGCAATCATGGCATTAGCATTTTTTTTTATCTTGATTAGTGATAAAATCCGTAAAATACTAATGCAATAGTTTGTAGTACGCAACTTAGATAAATGATAGAGTATTTTATATAGTTACTATAGCGTAAATTACTATAGTACCGAAAGCTCGATCTAGCCTTGCGTAGAAGTTGTGGTGAATAGGATGCATTGGATAATGATGACATTTACTTACTATTATTTTTTTTTTATCTTATTCTAGTTGCAATGAATATTTAAATTTGGTCGGATCTTATAACAACGATTTTATCTTGGTATATTGCAATGATATAGTTACAGTTGGTAATATTAAGCAATTTGAAAAAATAGTTGAAGCTTATCCACAAAATACTGTGGGTATTATTGTAACGTCATCTCAAAAAAGATGCTCATTCAATAGTTCGAAACGTGCAAAGTCTACAAAGTCTTCAGCTTGTATTTTATTTATGAGTGTTAATAAAATGGCAACTGATATTCCGGCATACTTTTTATTAAGAAAGGATTATCAATTTGATTATCAACATAAACTTATCGAAAAATTTGAAAAATTTGAAAA